CTTTCTTTTTTTTTTTTTTGAGACGGTGTCTCGCTCTGTCGCCAGGGTGGAGTGCAGTGGCGCAATCTCAGCTCACTGCAACTTCCACCTCCCGGGTTCAAGCGATTCTCCTGCCTCAGCCTCCAATCTGTAGCTAGGACTACAGACGCGCACTACCACGCCCAGCTAATTTTTGTATTTTTAGTAGTGACGGGGTTTCGCCACGTTGGCCAAGCTGGTCTCGAACTCCTTACCTCAGGTGATCCGCCCGCCTCGATCTCCCAAAGTGAGGGGATTACAGGCTTGAGCCACCGCGCCCCGCCTATTTTAATTTTAAAGGTTAATAGGACCAGCACTGAAATCAGCCTCTGCCCCGCCAGCCCTGCTCTGGTACCAGCAGCGTTCAGCAGCACACAGACCCGCGTGCGCCTCCACCTCCGTCCGCAGGTGTCGTTGTGGGTGCCGCGGCTGGGCCTCTCTAGCGGCGACGGCGACACCGGAAGTCTCGTTTTCCACCCACTTCCGCTCTCTGGCCAGGCTTGGGCTGCGTGGAGAATACTTTTTGCGATGCCTACTGGAGACTTTGAGTGAGTCCGGGACCGCGGAGGGGGGCATGGGAAGCGGTTGGGGTGCTCTGGGCAGTATTACGGGGCCTGGGTGTGCCGAGGCTGCGGAGACCGGGCCTTGCTGACTTAATCTTCGCTTCCCACACATTTGTTTCCGCAGTTCGAAGCCCAGTTGGGCCGACCAGGTGGAGGAGGAGGGGGAGGACGGTGAGTGTACCCGGTCGCCCGGGGTAATCGCGGCCAGGTCCGAGCCGGGCGACTGACGCCTGCTTCCATCTCCTAGTCTGGCACCGTGTCCCCCGTCACGACCAGCCCCTGCCCCGCGCTATCCACCTTGGGACCTGCCTGTTGCCAACTCCAGGTGTTCCCCGGCGGGTCCCTGTTCCTCCCATGTTACAGCCCAAGTCCTCCCAGCTGTTGCCTTACTCCAGGGAGGAAGTTGTAATCTCCCGTCTCCTGTTTCTCTACTGGCGCCTGGTTGGCTTCATGGCCTGGCACCCACCTTCCTACGAGGGATCCCCCATCTTTGCCACTCCAAGTCCCCACAGGGCTATCCCAGTGCGCTGCCTGGTCAGCCCTCTGCCCTTAGCCTGCCTTTCTCAGCTCTTGCTGTAGGCATCATCCCAAAGGCCCTTCCGTCGCAGCTGGGGAGCTCCTGCCCTGGAGCTGACCCCTCCTCCCCACGCTGCCTCTTGCAGACAAATGTGTCACCAGCGAGCTCCTCAAGGGGATCCCTCTGGCCACTGGCGATACCAGCCCAGAGCCAGAGCTACTGCCGGGAGGTGAGTGAGGACTGCCACTCCGTGTCCGGGCTGCCTCTCCCTCCAGCCCTGCCGCTCCTGATCCCCATGACCCAGCGCTCAGTCCTTCTGTTTTTCCCCTTCTCCCAGCTCCACTGCCGCCTCCCAAGGAGGTCATCAACGGAAACATAAAGACAGTGACAGAGTACAAGATAGATGAGGATGGCAAGAAGTTCAAGGTGAGGGTAGGGGGCCAGGGAGTGGGGACCCTTGTGCTTGGGGGCCCTTAGACCAGAAGGCGGTGGGGTGTGCTGAGGGGGTTGGTAAAGGAGATCCCCTAGTCCCAGAAGCCTGACCCTTCTCCCCTGCCATCCTCAGATTGTCCGCACCTTCAGGATTGAGACCCGGAAGGCTTCAAAGGCTGTTGCAAGGAGGAAGGTGAGGCGCTCCTTCCCCAGGGCTAACCCAGAGGAATTGGGAAACCGTGCTCCCAGACCTTTGTGTTTAGAGATGGGGCTTAACTCTTTTCTTTTCTTTCTTTTTTTTTTTTTTTGAGATAGAGTGTCGCTCTATCCCCCAGGCTGTAGTGTAGTGGTGCGATCTCGGCTCACCGCAACCTCCGCCTCCTGGGTTCAAGTGATTCTCCTGCCTCAGCCTCCCGAGTAGCTGGGGTTACAGGCATGCGCCACCACGCCCAGCTAATTTTTGTACTTTTAGTAGAGACGGGGTTTTGCCATGTTGGCCAGACTGGTCTTGAACTCCTGACCTCATGTGATCCACCTGCCTCGGCCTCCCAAAGTGTTGGGATTACAGGCATGAGCCATCGCACCCAGCCGGGCTTAACTCTTTGTACCTATTTTGTTGAAGCTGAACTGAGGCCTGGAGTGCTTGCACTCTCTTGGGACTCTGAAAAGTCCAGGGCATAGGAGTCGATGATAAATAGCGATTAAATAAATGATAAATATCTAATAAAAGTTTGATGATAGATATCAAATATTAATAAATGTTAAATAAATTCGATTATAAATATCGAGTGAAAGTTAGATTCTTTTAATTTTTTTAAAGACACAGGGTCCAGTTCTGTTGCCCAGGTTGGAGTGCAGTGGCACGATCATAGCTTACTGCAGCCTTGAACTCCCAGGCTCAAGCCAACCTGGGATTACAGGTGTGCACTGCCACACCCGGCTAATTTTAATTATTTGTAGAGATGGGGTTTCACTATGTTGCCCAGGCTGGTCTCCAGCTCCTGGGCTTAAGAGATCCTCCCACCTTTGCCTCTCAAAGTGCTGGGATTACAGGAGGGAGCCACCGGGCCCAGCCGGGGTTAGATTCTTGTTCTTCTTGGCCTGTCAGCCTGGAGGAACAGAGGCAGGAGGTGGTCGCAGCAGTTAGAAGCGTTAGCAATAAATACACTTAGAACAGCTTGCTGTGCGCTTCATTGTAACATACCCCATGCCAAACGCCTTGCAGGGAGTGTTTCTCTGATTCAGTCTCCTTAGGAGCCCAGGGAGGCAGGAAGCTTTTGTGGTTCCCGTTTGATAAGGGAGGAAGGGAGGAAGCTGAGGCTCAGGTTGTCTAGCTCAAGGGCCCGGAGGTCTGGGTGGACCCCTGCACATCCCTGAGTATCACGCCCTGGTGGGAGCTGGTCCGCCAGCCTGCACAGGCCCCAGGCTGTACAGCTGTCACCTGGAGCTTGGGCCTGGCGTGTGTGTACTCAGGAAATGGGAACTGTCGCCAGGACTATTTGAGGAGTGGTTGAGGAGGATGAAAATGGGGTTCGAGGCCCAGGCACTCTGGGGATGGCTGCTGTAGGTCTAGGGTACCCCACTGTGGAACCCTGCCTCAACTGTCCCCCATCCCTCCCTGAGCCCAGAACTGGAAGAAGTTCGGGAACTCAGAGTTTGACCCCCCGGGACCCAATGTGGCCACCACCACTGTCAGTGATGATGTCTCTATGACGTTCATCACCAGCAAAGAGGTAAGCCGGGCAGTCAGGTGGGGCTGACATGCTGGGGTCGGGGGAAAGGGGGTGCCTCAGCCGCCTCTGAGCTCCCCACAACCCACCCCTGCCAGGACCTGAACTGCCAGGAGGAGGAGGACCCCATGAACAAACTCAAGGGCCAGAAGATCGTGTCTTGCCGCATCTGCAAGGGCGACCACTGGACCACCCGCTGCCCCTACAAGGACACGCTGGGTCCCATGCAGAAGGAGCTGGCCGAGCAGCTGGGCCTGTCTACCGGCGAGAAGGAGAAGCTGCCGGGAGGTGCGGGGCTGGGGATGCTGGCTGCCATTGCGGGGGCGGGGGGTCCTGCTGTCAGTGCGCGGGTTCTGTCCCCAGTGCTGCCTTTGTGCTGTCATCTCCCACACGACAGCATGGCAGGGTTGATGGCGCCCGACTCTCCTCAGGGCGTCTGTGCCTTCCTAATTGGCTGTACCTCCTGTGGTTGGGAGACCGGCGTCTCTCGTATATGTGTGACTTGGCAGCTGTGACTCTGCTGGTGGCCCTATGACTGTGCTGATGGGAGCTGCTGTCGGCCGGCCCCAGGGTGCTGACCACCCGCCCTTGTGTGTACGCACTGTGTGTGTAGTGTCTCCGTTGCATGCCTGTGGCTGTACCGTCTGAATCTTTTGGTGGGATTGCTGGTGGTGAGTGTGATAGTGGAGACGTGCATTTGTCGCCTACCATGCGAGGGAAACCTGGGCACTGTTCCTGTCGTGTGTCCCATGCCTGCTGTCGCTGTGGATGTGAGGCTGCCATTCCCGTCGCCCCCCCCCCCCCCCGCCCAACCCACCCTCTCTGGGGTGGGGTCAGGGCTCCCTCTTCCTCCGCCATTGTCACCGGCCAGGAACTCAAATGGTGTCAGCTTCCTAGGTGTCACCTTGGTGTCCTCGTGGCCAACCGGCTGCCTGTGGCTTGGCACACGGTGCCTGCGCTGGGTCAACACTGAAGCCTGAGCCTCCTGGGGCGGCTGTGTCCCTGTTCCTGCGCCAGGGTGAGGTTGAACTCAGTTGACTATCTTTTGGTCCCCAGAGCTGGAGCCGGTGCAGGCCACGCAGAACAAGACAGGGAAGTATGTGCCACCAAGCCTGCGCGATGGGGCCAGCCGACGCGGGGAGTCCATGCAGCCCAACCGCAGAGGTGAGGGGCATCCTGATGCCAGGCTGGTGGGTGGGCATCTCCCGGCACCTCGTAATTATCCCCAAAGCGTGCACACAAGGGCCGGGCAGGGGCCTCCCCCTCACAGCCACCTCCCCTCTCCCACACAGCCGACGACAACGCCACCATCCGTGTCACCAACTTGTCAGAGGACACACGTGAGACCGACCTGCAGGAGCTCTTCCGGCCTTTCGGCTCCATTTCCCGCATCTACCTGGCTAAGGACAAGACCACCGGCCAGTCCAAGGTGGGCAGGCAGGCGGGTGCGACGGGGCTGTGTGAGGGTCACCTGTCCTGGGGTCGCCTGTCCTAGTTTGTGCCCCTGACCCCACCCCGCCCCTGCACAGGGCTTCGCCTTCATCAGCTTCCACCGCCGTGAGGATGCCGCGCGCGCCATCGCCGGGGTGTCCGGCTTCGGCTACGACCACCTCATTCTCAATGTCGAGTGGGCCAAGTAAGACTCCACCCCCGCCCCACCCCTCCCCACCCCAGCCCCTGCTCCCCACCTCGTCCCAGCACCTCCACGGAACCTTGGGCCAACCAGTGGCCGTGTGCCAATTTAACAGTCCCCCAGCTGGTTTTGAGGGGACAGTCCTTTATTGTTTTTTCCCAAAACCTGGCAGAGGGGCAGAGGGGTGGCAGCTCTTGTGCCTGGCGTCCCTGCCAGTCCGTGGGCCAGGCCTTGAGGCTGGCCATCTGGCTCGGTGCCCACTTTGTCCTCCCATTACCCCGTCCTTCTCTGCCCCTAGCCCGCCGCAAGGCACCATTTGGGTGTCTGGGGTCTTGGGGCGCCCCTGGAGGTCTCATACCCTGCCACCCTCCCCTACCCCAGGCCGTCCACCAACTAAGCCAGCTGCCACCGCGTGCTCGGCCCAGGACCCTCGGCGACAGAAGGCAGCCTCTGAGAGAGCGGGCTCCAAGGGCAATAAAAAAGCTCCACACTCTCTACCCGGGCCTGTTTGTTCTCGTGTCTCCAGTCCTGTGGCGGGGGCCAGCGCCTCCCCTCCCCTGGGCATGGTTTGGTCCCTGACGCGCAGGGAGCCCTGTGGCCAGCGCTGTTGGGTGGGAAAGGCAACTGCTCCTGCCTGGGCTGCAGCTGGGCCTGACCTGGCTACAACCACAGGAGTTGCTTTTTGGGGGAAGGGGCATGTTGGGGCTGGGGTCCTGTCCTCAGGGTTCTCCAGCAACACCTGGGGTGAGGCGGCGGCTTCAGCTAGGCTACGTCACGGGCTCAGCTCATGGGACTGGGGCTCCGACGGTTTAGAGGCAGCTGTGGCATTGAGGGGCAGGGCTTGGCCAGTGTTCTTGGCATCCTCTGGGTTCCAGCTGTCCTTGTAGCCAGGGCAGTGTCGGCAGCAGCAACCCAGGCTGGGCACCGCGGCCATATAGAGCAGCGGGTGGACACAGAAGGCCAGGGGCATGAGGCCCCGCATCACCTGGTAGCCCACGTAGGGTCCCAGCTCCAGGGCTGCTGTGGCCTGGGCCACGTCTGCAAAGCTCGGGCAGCGGGTGCTCCAGCGCCGCCGAGCATCCACGTTGAGCACGTGCATGACATGGTAGGGCACGTAGGAGCTGGCGTAGAGGGCCACGCCACTGGCCACCAGCGCCGCCACGCGCAGCTTCTCGGCGACAGTCATGCTCGGGCTGCGTAGCACAGCCCGCCCGAGGGCGCCATAGGCTGCCAGCGTGAGCAGCAGCGGCAGGCCGCAGCCCAGCCCCGCCAGCACCAGGCTGTATGCTCTGTAGGCCTCCAGCCTGTGACCTGCTGTCCCCAGACACTTGATGCAGGCCTCGGGCCTGGCCACGCTGCAGTTGCCCACCCCCTGCTGTGGCCTCTTCAGGTGGGAGAAGCTGAGTGTGGGCATGGCCAGCAGGGCGGCCAGGACCCAGCCGGCGGCGCTCACGGCCCAGGCATGCTTGGGCCGCAGGTGGCTGCGGGTGAAGAAGGGGTGCACGATGCCCAGGTAGCGGTTGAGGCTGATGCAGGTGATGAAGATGACGCTGCCCAGCAGGTTGCAGGTGAAGAGGAAGCGCTCCAGGTGGCATGCGGCCTCCCCATAGCGCCAGTGCTTGGGGGGATAGAGGTAGGCGGCCAGCGGGGGCAGCGTCAGGGCACAGAGCAGGTCACTGACTGCCAGCTGGACTGAGAGGACCACGGCGGGGTACCACGGGCGCTGCTCCCGGGTGCTGAAGCGGTACAAGGCCAGGCCATTGCTGGCCAAGGCCACCAGGAACTGAACCAGCAGTATGGGCCACAGGAAGTCTTCCTGGAACCCACTGAGGATGTGGTCGGCAGCTGCCGAGAAGTTGGCAGGGCAGGACTTGGCATCTGTGGGCAGAAGGTATCACCAGCTGAGCCCTATTCTCCCACATGGCAGCTCCTGCTGCCCCCAGAGCCCACGTCTGCCATGGCATGGATTCCTTGACACAAGTTCTTTCCCCTCCCTGGAAGACCGGGCTCCACTCCTTTATATGGACAGGACTGGGCTCAGAGCCGGGGTTCTGCATTGGGCCCCGAGGGACCAGCTGAGGGGGGCCAGGCAGTCTTGGAGCTCAGGGTCCACCGGTAACACAGGCAGTGGCCACCCTGCTCCCGCACCACACCTGCCTGTGGGAGTCCCTGGCCTCACTAGAGGCCTCCTCCTCAAAGTCCAGCCCGGGCAAGGCCTGCTGGCTCCGCTTCAGACCTGTGCCGTCTGAGGCCCCACCGGGGTGGGGTCCAGCCCCGGCATCCTGCCCCGACCTCAGCACTAGCCGCCGCCCACAGCCTCTTCTCCCTGTGGCCACCAGAGGGCACCTGCGAGCGCCAGAGTCCTGTCCCCATCCTTTTGCTTCCAGGTGCTCACACTTGGCCACAGAGTTGCCGCCAAAAAGCCAGACTCAGCCCACAAGGTCCCACAAGAGCACTCCCGCCCGCCATACCCCCCAGTGCCACCCTCTGTGCTCCACGACTCACTCCCTCGCGCCAGCCCACCCTGGCTTCCCGGCTGCTTTTGCAGGCTTGTGCCTTGGGACCTTCATACCCAGACATTCTTTTTTTTTCTTTTTTTTTTTTTTTGAGACAAGAGTCTCGCTCTCATCACCCAGGCTGGAGTGCAATGATGCCATCTCAGCTCACTGCAACCTCTGCCTCCCTGGTTCAAGTGATTCTCCTGCCTCAGCCTCCTGAGTAGCTGGGACTACAGGCAACCACCACCACGCTTGGTTTAATTTTAAACTTTGTATTTTTAGTAGAGATCGGGTTTCCCCATGTTGGCCAGGAGGTCTCGAACTCCTGACCTCAGATCTGCCCGCCTCAGCCTCCGAAAGTGCTGGGATTACAGGCATGAGCCACCGCACCTGGCCTCACCCAGACTTTCTTGAGGCTCCTTTCCCCACGTCTGTGGTCTTGCCTGTGAGAGGGCCCAAGGCCACTCTAACCACTATGTGCCCTCCACTCTCCCTTCCCTGCGGTATTTTCCCCCATACCCTGTGCCTCACCTGATGACAGTGAGAAAAATCTCCCTCTTTCAGGAGAATGGGGGGGCCTGCTTACACACTACTTGCGCCAGTGCTCACCGCAGTGCCCAGGGCCCAGCAGCACAGGGGCACTCACTCCTTGTACACCCCACTCCTGCCACCGCAGGCCGGGGCAGGCTCCTCCGGAGGACTCCCAACGCCAGCCTGCTCAGGGAGGAAGTGTCGTCTAGACTGGCTTTTTTTGGAGACAGGATTTCACTGTCACCGAGGCTGAGGTGCAATCAAAGCTCAGTGCAGTCTCAGACCTCCTGGGGTCGTGATCCTCCTGCCTCAGCCTCACCAGTAGCTGGAATCTCAGGCTCACACCACCAGGTTTGAGAGAGTTTTGCTCGTTGCCCAAGCTGGAGGGCAACCTCCGCCTCCCGCGTTTAAGTGATTCTCCTGTCTCAGCCTCCCGAGTAGCTGGGATTACAAGCACGTACCACCAGGTCCGGCTAATTTTATATTTTTAGTAGCAATGGGGTTTCTGGCTGGTCAGGGTGTTCTCAAACTCCTGACCTCATGTTCTTCCCGCCTCAACCTCCCAAAGTGCTGGGATTACAGGCGTGAGCCACTGTGCCCAGCCCCAGACCTAGGTTTTACCAATACCCATGCCCCACCGCCCCCACCTCCTGACAATCTGCAGGGCTAACCACAGACCCCCAGAGAAAGCCAACATGCCTTCTCCTTACCTGAGACGTTGGCTGCCATGCTCCCGTGCCGAGCCTCAGCCTGTGTCTGCCACCCAGTTCCGCAGCTCCTCCCCCAGTCACTGGTGGCTTAGCGGGCCCTGCCCCTGCCCCAGCCCCACCCCCAGTTCCTGGCCCAGCCAGCAGAGCAGGCCAAGGTGCCTTTCCACCCACGTTTCCTTCCTCATTGTGCACAGCCCTCTTGAGGTTCAAGCTCATCTGCTGAAAGCGTGACCTGTCTGCTTGCAGGGCTCTTGGTGGGACTGTGGGGAGGGGCCTCATGACCACCACTGCCACCAATGAAACCAACCCCATGCAGGGAGCGGAGAGACCCAGCTTCCAGGAAGAAACCAGGTGGGAGGGACTCCCGGGGTCACCTGCCCAGGCGACTCTGGGTTGCTTTGCAGAGCTCCAGGAAACCCCATCCCAAACGCCGACGTGGACCCCTGGCCAGTTCAGTTGTTTATTGGAGTGGAAGGGTGGGGGACACGACTCCTTTATGAAAGGAAACCGAGGGCCATGTCTCTCGGGCCCCAATCTGGGGCGTTCAGTTCATCCACTGCTCCGGTGTGGCCTGGGCTCAGGCCACTCTCTTCCGTGAGCGGCCCCGGCCCTGGCCTCGCCCACCATCCCGGGAAGCCCCTCTGGGCCCCCGCCTGGTCTGGGACCCCGGGGGCTTGTCCTTGGGCTTGGGAAACTTCCGGTCACAAAGACGACCCCTGCCTCGATCCGTTTCCCGCCGCTTCCGGCCTGGGGACTTGGCAGGCCGTTTCCGCTTGGCCTCGGGGAACAGGTCTGTGGGGAGGGACAGTGTCAGGGTTCCCAGGGACAAGGACAGGCTCTGGGTGCCCCGCTGCAGACCCCACTCCATACCTTCACTAGGCGCCTCGCCGACCGCCTGGCAGAAATACTCGATGTCATCATCTTCCTGGTCATCGTCCTCCTCACCCAACCCCAGGCTCGCCGTCCTCGAAGGGATCCCAGAGGCCTCTTCATCACCACCCCCGACCCGTGCCTTCTTCATGCCCTCCAGGCTCTTCTTCCTGGAGGAGGGGGTGGGGGTCAACGTGGCTGCCCACCCCAGGGATCCCCCGGCCCCGCCGTGCCCAGCCCTGCCCGAACCTGTGGGCCTCCCGCTGCTCCTGCTTGCGCTGCACGTTCTGGGCCTGCTGGGCCTGCCTCTGTGCCTTCAGCCGCAGCTGCTTCTCCTTGGCTTCCAGGATGGCCTGCAGCTCCTCCTCTGTCTTGCGCACTGAGCCAGGAGACGCGGGTCACCAAGGTCCGGATGCAGCCCGGCGCCCGTGACCCCGCACCCCCGCGGGCCCCGGACTCACCAAAACTGTGGAACATCACTTTGCCCTCCCCAACGCCCTCCTGGACCTTGATGAGCTGCAATGTCATCCGCGGGCCGATCTAGGGGGATGAGGGAGAAGTGTCAGCCCATTGTTGGGACTGGGGGAACCCAGGGGTCCCCTGCCCCGGGCCTCACCTCAGTGAGCCGCACTGCACTCTGCTGGGCTCGCATGTTGCCACGGCCAGCCACAGCCTGAGGCAGCTCTGTGATGTTGTGGTCGCCATCAGGCTCTGCCTCGCTCTCCGACAGCCCCGCACCCCTGTGTGTGGGACATACAGGGCTCAGTGGGGGAGCTCAGGCTCCCGGGCCTGTTCTGGGGTCCCCGGGTGGCAGTGGCCTTCCGCCCTGTGCCCTCCTCACGTGGCCAGCAGCTCGCTGATGTCCTGCAGGCGGCTCATGTTGGGGAACTTTTCCTGGAGAAGCTTCTTCATCCCGCGACTCGCACCCACAGGAACGACTTTGATGCTACTGCAGGAACGTGAGTGGACGGCAAGGGGGTGGTCAGGGGACACGGGGCTGGTAGTCCCCATCCCACCCTTCCCACAGTGCGTCAGGGCGTTTACTTTGAGACACAGCAATCACAGAGTCTCAGCAGGAGTGCTGTCATCAGCCGCACGCGGGGGCCCCCACCCGGCACCCCCTCGTCCCCCATTCCGCTGGGACACTCACTAGTGGCGGAAGTCCAGCTCCTGGGAGTCAGGGTTGTAGTCAATGAGCAGGCAGCGCTTGATGGTGTTCAGGTTCACCTGGAAGGTGAGGAACAGCGCATGCTCCAGTAGGCTCACGGCGAAGTATGGGGAAGTGGGGGCTTTGGGGGATGCATGCACTGTACATGGACTGTGGCACTGGCTAGAAATGCTGCCTCCAGCTCGCACCTGCAGTTTCAGCTACTCCAGAGGCTGAAGTGGGGGGACTGCCTGAGCCCAGGAGTTCAAAACCAGCCTGGGCAACATAGCGAGTCTCCATGTCTACAAAAAGTAGATGGAAAAATGTGCTGGACGTGGTGGCTCATGCCTGTAGTCTCAGCTACTTGGGGAGCGGAGGCTGCAGGATTGCCTGCGCCCAGGAGTTCAAGATCAACGTAGGGAGATGTGTCTCTTAAAAAAAAAAAAGGAAGAACGTGCAGGTTTGAACATAAAGTATAATAATTAAAAAAAAAAAAAAAAAATCAACCGGGCATGGTGGCTCAAGCCTGTAATCCCAGCACTTTGGGAGGCCAAGACGGGCGGATCACAAGGTCAGGAGATCGAGACCATCCTGGTTAACACGGTGAAACCCCGTCTCTACTAAAAAATACAAAAAAAAACTAGCCAGGCGAGGTGGCGGGCGCCTGTAGTCCCAGCTACTCAGGCTGAGGCAGGATAATGGCATGAACCCGGGAGACGGAGCTTGCAGTGAGCTGAGATCTGGCCACTGCACTCCAGCCTGGGCTACAGAGCCAGACTCCGTCTCAAAAAAAAAAAAAAAAAAAAGGAAAGAAGAAATCCTGGTCCCTGAACCCATATTAGACTCTCTGATGACTGATATCTTCCATAATTTCTAAGTCCCACCTGAGAGTCACTAGTGACAAGGATTAGGAGCCAGAACTCAGGAGCCAGACGAGTTTAAAAATCCAGTCCTGCGCCCTGGAATCTAAAATCAGCATCTTGGCCAGCCTCAGTTTTGCTTTTTTTTTTTTGAGACAGGGTCTCGCTTTGTCACCCAGGATGGAGTAGAGTGGCATGAACACAACTCACTGCAACCTCGACCTCCTGGGCTAAGGTGATCCTCACCTCAGCCTCCCCAGTAGCTGGTACTAAAGGCATGCATCACCACACTGGGCTTTTTAAAAATCTATTTTTTGTAGACATGCGGTCTCACTATGTTGCACAAGCTTATCTCAAAGTCTTGGGCTCAAGCAATCCTCCCACCTCGCCCTCTCAAAGTACTGGGATTACAGGCCTGAGCCATAGCACTGGGCCTGCAGCTTCCCTCTGTAAAACAGGGCCATAAGAAGAGATGCTATGATCCTGCTCAGTCCAGCACTCAACACACACGGGGAATAGAGCTCCATCAGTATTTCTTTCCACCTGCTGGAAAAGGCGCAGCTCGTGGGGTGGGGAGCGCTGGGGGCATCTCTGGACACTTTTGTCCAGCATCATCAGACACAGGAGTGGGATTTGCCCTCAGGACTCAGCAGACCCAGGAGCTCTCAGCCTCAGAACTGGGAGGACTGAGCAATCCATCTGAGGGCCTGTGGGACCTCTACCCGCTGCACCCACTCATACCTGCCACCTCGCCAGGCCAGACCCACCTTGTGCACATTGATGGAGGGGAACAGGTTCTGGAACATGGTAGCCATGAGCTTCACATGCATGCCGTGGGGGCCAAAGCTGTTGAGTACCAGGAGGGGTGGGTGGGCAAACTGCTGCTCGTGCATGCGGTGCCGGCGCAATGAGGAGACCACATCACGCACCAGCGAGTACTGTAGGGCAGGAGTGAGGGGGTGACCACCAACCACACATGGCTGGGAACACCCCCAAGTCCAGCTCTGACCCCACATGGCTTTGTACCACCCTCCACCCCTCTCACCTTCTTGACCTGGAAGGTCAAGGTGGGGCCTCCTGGGAGGCGCATCAACTTCTGCAGGAGAAAAAACGATCAGTGACGCTGGAGGGGTCTAGCAGAGGAGTCTGCGAGGAGGCACCTTTGCCCCATCTCTTCTTCAGAGCGTTTACTTTGAAGCCAGAAATCACAGCAGCTCAGAGGCACATGTGTTCATCATAAGAGAAGGGGGAAGTGGGGGTCTGGGGGAGATGAAGGGTGAGGGCATCTACTCACAAAGTAGACACTGGTCTCTGTTTTGCTCAGGATCAGAAAGTGTGTGACCCCGAGGGGCCCAGCCACTGCCACACAGTCTTTCAGCGAGTTCTTCTTACGAACCTGGAAATGACAAAAAGAAAAAGAGAAAACATAGCTTATCCCTTATTGCTCTGACTATAAGCTGACGGTGCAAATCCTGTTATGGTCTGTCTAGCATCAAACCCTTTCAATAAGCCCAGAGGAGCAAAAGGATCTTAGCCGTTAGAGTCAATCAGACACAGATTTGAGTTCTAACTCTTACCTCTTGCTCACAGCGCATTTTCCCATTGACAAATGAGTGAACTGAGGCCCAGCAAGGTTAACTAACTTGCTTCAGGTACTGGGGAGAAGACAGTTTCCAACCCTGCTTTGCTGCCTCCAGATTCTAGCCTCTTTTTTTTTTTCGACACATCGAAAAAAAAGGAGTGGGAATTGCCCTCAGGACTCCTGTCGCCCAGGCTGGAGTGAGGTGGCACGATCCTGATTCACTGCAGCCTTAATTTCCTGGGCTCAAGGAATCCTCCCACCTCAGCCTCTCGAGTAGCTGGAACTACAGGCATGCACCACCATATCCGACTAATTTTTCTATTTTTTGCAAAGACGGCGTTTCGCCATGCTGCGCAGGCTGATCTCGAATTCCTGGGCTCAAGTGATCCTCCTGCCTCAGCCTCCCAAAATACTGGGAATACAGGCATGAGCCACCACGCCCGGCTCCAGATTCCAGTCTTAACCGTCAGGCTTAGGCGACCAACTATCTCCCAAGTTGCGCGCCCTCATTCCAGCTCAGCAAAGCCCTGAAAGGTAGACATGATGCTCCCCATGAGGGTCACTTTTTCCAGCCGGGGAGACTGAGGCCTCCCACAGTTTTGTAGCGGGAGCCATTACTGCAGCCGCGAATACGGGGCCCAGGGTGGGTGGAGGCGGGCTGGGGATGGGGTACAGACCTGCAGACGGCTGGCAGTGAGCGGCTCCATGACCCGCCGCACGTCCAGGCTGAGCTGCCGGATGTTGCGACCCGTACAGCCCCGCGTGAACACGAACGAGTGCGGGTTCGCGGCATAGGCCTCGAGGTTGCGGAGCTGCGCCTGAGCGCGGGCGCGCTTCTGGTGCCGGGACTGCGGTGGCAAGAGACAAACGGTGAGCGCCGCGACCTCGGTCGGGACCCCGCCTGCGTCCCCTGCCTCCCAAACCTCCGGGCCTCACCCTCCCTGACTGTCCCATGCTGCTGCGTCCTCCACGAGGCCTCCTGTGTCCGCCGCTTCCGGCGCTGCGCAGCTCACTTCCGGCGCCTGAGAGCCGGCACGGCCTGGGTCGTCATCGTGCGGGCCTGCGCACTAGGTGGCCTCCGGGAGCGGGGAGGGGCAATCAGGTGGAGCGGTTGCTATGGAGACACGGGTGCCAGTTTCTAGGGAGAAAGGGGCGGGGCTACGCGGCTCTGGGCTGCAGAGAAACTAATCCGCCGGTTCGAATCCCGCTTCGGTCCATTTCCTCCAGCTGGGCTAAAGCCACTTTCTGCATTCCGAGGCTCCTCCCAAAGTAAGGATGATAATGTCCCCCGGGCTCACGAATTAGGAGCGATCATATACGCACAATGTTGGACGCTCTGGCGCCACGTACTTGGGGAGAAGCCACTGGAGGGAATGACTGTGGCAATCATTCATTTTTGTCCCACAGCTCCTCTGGGCCAGCTGTCCTCCCTGGGTACCCCTGACTGCAGACGGGCTGAGGGATGGAAACTCCACATCACCTTCTGGAAACTCAGGGCAAGGCGGGCGCTTCGTGAATAACTCGCCCCCTCCTTCTTTCCACTCAAAGCCTCAGTCTTGGCCTCAGGCCTCTGGCGTCTTCCCCAAAACCTTGCGGTGGGGGGAAGGGACACCCCCTCGCTGGGCTGAGCATTGCTCTCCCCTCCCCCATCGGCCTCCTCTCCCTCCTTGCTCTCTCTGGCACCCCAATTCTTCCTCCTCTCCCCTAGATGTGTCTCCCCTCCCATTCGTCTTCCCCCATCTCTCTCTCCCTCTTGCAACGTTGTCTCTGTCATTAGTTGTCTCTTTCATCATTTATAACTAAAGATGGAAACTAAAGAAGTTTCCTTTCTCTGTGTCTGGTCCCATCCCTGTTTCTTCTCATCTGCCTCCCTGTGTCTCTCCCCATCTCCCCGTCTCTCCCTATCTCTGCCATCTCCCTATGTCTCTCCCATCTCCATCTGTCTGACTCTCTGTCTTCTTCAGCCCCTCTCTGTGACTTATGAAGTTCCCTCCCTCTCTACTGCCAATGGGGAAGCCAGAAGGGGCTGAGGGTGGGGGGCCGAGGGGCCCAGTGTGGGGGCCCCAGCCCAGGCCCAGAGCCCAGCCTGGCAGCCTCTCTAAGATCTGGGACGACCATTTCCTCTTTCAACCCTGGAGTCCACTCGAGTTACTTGGGAGCTCAGGACGGTGCAGACCCGGGGAAGGAGGCGGCTCTCCCAGCGTGTGGCTGGTCGTCGGTGGGGCCTTCGGACAGGTCTCAGACCCTGGGCCGGGGCTCTGCAGGGCTCTACGTGAGTTTCTTTGTACCCCTGGGAAACGACTGCATGGTTACTTCCCCCAGTTCCGTCTTGTGTGATTTGACTTGTGTGAAAATGTGAACGAGCGTGTGGGAGACAGATGGTGACCTCTGTGATGTGGTGGATAGGTTTCCAGGTGTCACCTGTGCGGACCTGTTTTGTATCTGTGCACTACTGCGTGATCACAAGAACCAGGGTGTGGAAGGCCTGACACACAGATAAAGACCCACTCAGCCCACCCCCATTTCCCTTTAAGTTGTGATGTGTGTGTGACCATATTTGGAACATACAGTTGTTGCCTGAAACTGTGTTATGTTTTCAGCTGTGTCTTTTTTTTTTTTTTTTTTTTTTTGAGACCGATCTGGCGTCGTCGCCCGCTGAGGCAGTGGCCGGATCCACTCACTGCAAGCCGCCCCCCGGGTTACGCATTCCCTGCCAACAGCTCTCCGAGTACCTGGACTACAGCCGCCCCGCCGCCTCGCCCGGCTAAGTTTTTGTTTTTTTATAGAGACACGGGTTTCACCCATGTTCGCCAGGATGGTCTCGATCTCCTGACCTTCGTCCGACTCCGCCTCCGGCCTCTCCAAGTGCTGGATTACGAGCTTGAGCCACCGTGTCCCGGCTAGCTGTGTCTTTTTTTTTAAATAATAGATATCCTTTATTTAATGAAAGCATAGTCTCCAATGCAAAATCAAAGCTTAGGTTTCTTCCACATGACAAAGCTGGGTGTGGCTTCTTATGCTGAAAATACATGCCTGAATTCTATAACAGGTATTGTAACAAAATCATGAATAGTTAATTTAAATAAGTGCCAAGCCTACATGGAACTTACTGCATAAACTACCACACACACACACACACACAAAAAAAAAAACCAAAGAAAAACTACACGTACACTATGAGTACTGGTCAAGGATATCCGGATCAAGTTAATCAAATCCAAGGTGGCTGGTGTTTTGCCTTACATGTTGAATATATGAATCTCTCTATTTATATCGATTGTAATTATTTCAACAAATAATTAAGTGACTCAAATTTACATTTTCATTCTTTTTTTTTTTTTTTTTTTTTTGAGACAGAGTCTCACTCTGTCGCCCATAAAGCTGAGTACGAGTGGTCACTGCAACCTCTGCCGCCCCAAGTTCAGCGATCTTCCTGCCCAGCCTCCCTGAGGAATGGGATTACAGGCACCGCCTCACGCAGCCTGTGACTTCTTTGTATTGTTTAGTAGGAGATGTGGGTTATCACCATCTTGCAGGCTGTCCCCTTGGATGCGGCCCAGTGGATCGTGCCTGCCCTTGGCCTCCCAAGTGCTGGGATTACAGGCGTGAGCCACTGTGCCCGGCCTTACATTTTTATTTATAATTACAAAATCCAGATTAATCCAGAAAACATAAATCACATGTAACTGAGCTAAGGTTTTCACTTTAAGAATGTATTACTTCTACCACAATTTAAAAATTTCCAGCTGTCTTTTATATTTATTTTTTATTTTAATTTATTAATTCTTCAATTTATTATCATCATTTATTATTATTTTGAGATGGAGTTTCAGTCTTGTCGCCCAGGCTGGAGTGTGTGCAGTTGCTCTATCTTGGCTCACTGCAACCTCCGCCTCCCAGCTTCAAGCTACTCTCCTGCCTTCAAGCGATTCTCCTGCCTCAGCCTCCGGAGTAGTTGGGATTACTGGCGCACACCACCATGCCCAGCTAATTTTTGTATTTTTAGTAGAGGCGAGGTTTTACCATGTTGGCCAGGATGGTTTCAAACTCCTAACCTCAGGTAATCCACCCACCTCGGCCTACCAAAGTGCTGGCATTTCGGGCATGAGCCACTGCACCCAGACTTTTGCTGGGTGTTAATGTGTGCGTGCATGCGAGTGTGTGTCTTTGTGTCCACTCTGTTATGTGCCCATATGTGTGTGACTGCTGTGGTGTACATGTGTGAGTTTCTGAGTCAGGCTACCTTGAATGGCTCCCGTCCTGGTCTCTTTTTGGCTGTGTGACTGCAGGCAAGTCGCTTACCCTCTCTGAGCCTCAGTTTTCCCTGCCGTAAAATGAGGGTACATACAGAATCCAGCTCAGGTTGTGAGGATCAAATACATAAAAGGTGTGGAGAGTTTAGAACCAAGCCCTACACACAGTGAGTCCCCAGTGATGTTCCTTGTTCTGTGTGTGGTGTGTGCATGTCTGGGGCTGGGATCCTGCCTGGCTGCCCCGGGGCCTGCAGCTCCCACACTCTCGGCTCTGCAGTGGAGGATGGGGGGGAAGGGGAGGGATGTCCAGGACACTGACCTGTGTTATCAGGCTCTGGTGGCCTGGGCAGGGGGGTCTGGCAATTCTGTCTCATTTCTCATTCGGGAAAAGCTAAATATTTATAGTTTGGGCTCCCAGGCCCAGCATCCCAGCTCCACTCCCAGGCTCTGGGGGCTGGGGAGGGGTTACTAAGCCTCCTCTCTCCTGTCCCACCACCCTCTCTCCTTCTCTAGCTCAGAGGCCCCACTGGACCCGCGGCTCTTCCTTGGACTTCTTGTGTGTTCTGTGAGCTTCGCTGGATTCAGGGTCTTGGGCGCGAGAGGTGAGAGGGTGGGAAGGTAGGTAAAGGCTGATTCTCACTGTGGGGAAACTCCGACCACAGTTTGGCTTAGGGGCCCCCAGGCCACCCCGCCACCCCAGGCTGACAGTGTGAAAGGCAGTGGGTATTATACACACGTCCCAGTTCCAGGGGGGTTGGTCAGTCTCTGTTGTCGGGGGTGGGGGCGTGTCAGTGATCAGGGGACAAAGAGAGGACCCCCCGCCCCGGACTCTTGTGAGCCCCTGCTTGGTGTCTGAGTCCAGAAGTAAATGTGGCCATCTCCAGCCCAGACCCTTCCATGGTTCCCAGCTGACTCAGAGTAAAACCCAAGTCCTCCTCCGGGCCCACAGGACCCTTTGCCCTGTCATGTCTTCCCTCCTCCTGCTTCCCCCTCGCTTACTCTCTCTGTTCCGGCCTCGTAGACCTTTCTGCCATTTCTTTTTTTTTTTTTTTGAGACAGAGTCTCGCCCTGTTGCCCAGGCTGGAGTGCAGTGGCACAATCTCGGCTCACTGCAAGCTCTGCCTCCCGGGTTCACGCCATTCTCTTGCCTCAGCCTCCCGAGTAGCAGGGACTACAGGCGCCCACCACCATGCCCAGATAATTTTTTTTTTTTTTTGTATTTTTAGTAGAGACAGGGTTTCACCGTGTTAGCCAGGATGGTCTTGATCTCCTGACCTCGTGAACCACCCGCCTCGGCCTTCCAAAGGGCTAGGATTACAGGCGTGAGCCACCACACCCAGCCTTTTTTATTATTTTTTTATTTTTTATTTTTTTAGACTTACTCTGTAGCCCAGGCTGGAGTGCAATGGCATGATCTCAGCTCACTGCAACCTCTGCCTCCTGAGTTCAAGCGATTCTCCCACCTCAGCCTCCTGAGTAGTAGCTGGGATTACAGGCATGCATTACCATGCCCAGCTAATTTTTGTATTTTTAGTAGACACGGGGTTTCACCATGTTGGTCAGGCTGGTCTTGAACTCCTGACCTCAGGTGATCTTCCCGCCTCAGCTTCCCAAAATGCTGGGATTACAGGCATGAGCCACCATGCCTGGACCCTTTCTGCCATTTCTTGGGTGCAACCTCAGGGCCTTTGCACCTGCTGTTCCCTCTGCCTGAAATGCTCTTCCTCTTCTCTCTCTTCCTTCAGGTCTTTGCAAAAGTGTCATTCTTTATTTTATTTTAATTTTTATATTTAGTAGAAATGGGCTTTCACCATGTTGGCCAGGCTGGTCTCAAACTCCTGGGCTCAAGCGATCCTCCTGCCTTGGCC